CTCGCCCATCAGCGGGGCCACACCGCCCAGAAGAGCTACACTTGCGGCGAGTGCGGCAAGGGCTTCGCTTGGGCGTCCCACCTGGAGCGGCACCACCGCGTCCACACCGGCGAGAAGCCCTACGAGTGCCCCGAGTGCGGCGAAGCCTTCAGCCAGAGCTCCCACCTCACCAAACACCGCCGTAGCCACCTCCCCAAGGCTGCTTTCCTCCTCCTCCCCCAACCCCTGCCTCCCTCCAGGACCAGGCTGGTGGGGGAGAAGCCCCAAAGTGCCATGACCTGCAGCGGCGAGGAGCCCTGAAGGACCAAGACGCCCCCCTCCATTGGTGCGATGGACCGTGTTGAAGGGAAAACTCAGTTTGGGGACGAATTGAAGGACACCAAGTGACATTTAAGGGGTGGTGGGTGAAGGGGTTGAGGCATCAGGGTGGGATTTATCCTTCCTGATGTCTCTCAGCAGCTATGGGTTGAACGGTGCCTGTACGCGGCAGGGAAAGGGATGTCTTAGGGGAGAAGGGAGCCTCTTCCCAAGGGAAACGGTGCTTTTCTCCACTGGGAAGAGGTTTGGGGTAACGTGGGGCTGGTTCTTGTGACAAAAGACGGTGGTAATTTGTGTCCGTTCCTTGCTGCCGGCAGGCTGGAGAAAAGGATGCCGTGTTGCACCAATGGAGAGGGCAACAGTGGGCTTGGCGGTGGGAGGTGCCGGCGTGGGGCGAGGAATAAAAAAGGAGCCCCGTAACCCGCAGTCACCTGTGTCTGGCTCTCCTTGTGCACCGACCCCGGGCTCCATGGCTTTTCCTCGTTCCCGGTAGGAAACACCGTGAGTGTCTTCTCCCTCTCCAAAGACAAAAAACACGCTGAGACAGGTGGAGGGCTTTTTCTCTTTTGCTGAACTACCTTCTACTTTTATTACCTGCTAACCCGAGCCGAGGAAACCCGACCTCTCCACCCTTGCCAAATTCCTCGGCGCATCCCAAACCACCCTCGGCACAACCCGAATAGCATTTGGGGGGTTCCCAGAAAGGAAGGAGCGGAGCTGGTGACTGATGTAGGTCCCCACAGCTCTTTTTCTGAGCCATTTGCCCCCAAAAGCCCCTTGTGGAAGGGTGTTCCCTGGGTGATTCTACCGATGGGTCCCCCTCCCACACACCCAAAGCTGTGTCACCCCCTTTTTGCCCTCCCCAAACAGTGGGGCAGAGGATGAGGAGGGTTATAGGGAAAAGTGTCATCTCCCCACCTCCCTAAATTATCACCCAGCCCTCCCCAACTCCCCCCCCAGCCCCCCCAGCCCTCCTCTCCCTGTCTCCCCCCAAAGCCCCTATGCTGGTCACTAACCGCCCGGCACACACCGCTCACCCTTCCCCTGCCCCCTCCCCACCACCACTTCATCCCCCCCTTCCCCATCCTGACCCCCCAGCCCCAGGGTATCCTTGTCTCCCCCCCAGCTGCCGCAACAGTGCCGGGGAGCAGGGGGGGCACAGGCATCCCCGTGGGGCATCCCCAAAGGCGGCGGGTGGCTCTGAGCACCCTCCCGGTCCCCAACGGCCCCATCTCAGGAGCTGGGGGGAGGTAGGGAAGCCCAGGGCTCCTGGGGGGCAGAGGCGTCGCTTTGCAGCATGTCCCCCTCCCCGGGTCTCCATGCCATGGCCGGGGGCAGGAGAGCCTTGGCAGCCCAGCCCCTGGGGGCTGAGGAGGAGGAGGAAGAGGAGGAGGAAGGCACAGGGTGCTGCTGGAAAACGGAGCCGGGCTCTTCGGGCCAGCTCGGAGGGGGGGTAGGCGTCCCCCCTCGCCTCTCGCCCTCCCACCAGGCAGGCGGCAGCAAGGAGAGGGGGCTGCGGCCCCCCGTGCCGGCGGCGTGCAGTCGCTGGTGAGCTGCCAGGGCCGTGCCGAGGCCGAAGGCTTTGCCGCATTCGGGACAGACGTGCCGCTTCTCCGGGCCACCCTGCGTGTGGGCACGTTGGTGCCGGTTGCGGTGGGAGCTGCGGCCAAAGCATTTGCCGCAGTGGGCGCAGGAAAAAGGTTTCTCACCGGTGTGGGTGAGCCGGTGCCGGTCGTAGTGGGAGCTCCAGGCAAAGCCTTTGCCGCAGACACCACACTGGTAAGGGTTCTCGCCGCGGGGAAG